TGTAGGGAATCAATAAACGAAGCAAAAACAAGCGTATTTCTAAAAAAAACTCTTAGTTTATCGATCCTGTATACGAAATTTAACCATTTAAATTTGAGACACCCTGTAGATTGTTCTATAGAAATCTTGATTCACGGAACGAAATCTTTAAAAAATAATAAAATACACATGTAACTTAGAGCGTTTATTTATTAGATTTTATATGCTTCTATTTAAAAAACTACTGCTCGGATGTATTTTGTCAAAAGGAAAAAGTTGCTAGGACTACGCAGGATCTACGCAAATTAGTTCGACGATCAAAACGTCGAACTAATTTTTTAGACGTTCGACAAACAAATGTTCTTTAGATATCTGAAGAATGTCAGGATTTTTCTATCAATATTCTCTTAAATTGAAAAGATATTGAATGTTTTTTCAACGTTTGAAAGAGGTTTGATAATTAGGTGTGTCGTCATTTAGATGTCTTTTGAAAGAATTATGAAATTGCATCATTGTGTGCAACTCTGTATTTATGACCATAAGGTATACTAAAATCACTGAAAACGCGACGTTTATACTAGAATCGTTACAAAGTCACATGCGTTACAATACAGGGTTTATTATGATTGCGTACAAGGCGAGTCATTTGAATGTGAATGTCTGAATTCTCTGATGTTACGCCGTTCGGTCAAGTAAAAAAATGAAAAAAAAAAAACAAATTTCCTTACAACATAAGCAAAGCAAATGATGAAGTGTTCTCGATTGAAAACTCACCTTGTGCGCTTAATGTCGATTAGGAGAACGTTCTACGTATGTCAAACAAATTTCTAAACTTGATTTCGAATTCATTTCGTAGGAAAGGTATCGTTGTTTTAATAACACTTGTGTTTTCTGCGGCACTCTCTGTATGTACGTATGTACGATATATATGTATATATGTATGTATAATTTATGTATCATAAGCTAAAATAAATCTCGTAAAGCGATGAAAGAAACAGCCTGTAAAAGTTTATTTTTCGTTTCAACAAAATTATTAATTGAAGTTTATAATCCTTTTGCGCGCGGTATTTGACTTTTTTGTAAAAAAAGTTAATGTTATCTTGAAATTCTAATCGGAAATCACATGAATATATTGTTCATTTTCTATATAAAATGTATTTTTTTATTTTAATATCTTTTTTAATATATCTCTTTGTACAGACTTTGAATGGACTCTAGATTCTGGGATGAACCAGAAGTTTACAATCCCGACAGATTCGCCAAGAATAATCATTCCCGATGCCTACATGACGTTCGAAATTGGTCCTAGGATATGCACAGGTAAGTGATAGTAAGAACAAGCGAGAGATAGAGATAGATAACCTGTTTTAGAAATGTTTTCTCCTAAGAATAAAAGTATTAAAAAAAAGATACGCGTGAAAATAAAATAAAAAAGTAATATAAAAAATTTTAATATTAATATTAATAATATATTAATAAATTTTAATATTAAGATATTAAGAATAAAGAAACACGTCAAAATTATCAAAGTTGATATCGAAATAAAAAATTTTATTTTATGATCAGAGATTATATTTGCATTTCCGTCAGATTAATAAAATATACGTATAATACATAACTTTTTATGCATATAAACTCAAATCGATTATACATATATCGAAGCGTGTCTCAGGAAAATCGCGCAAATCTGTGATTGCTTATGATGCTGGCAACTTACCGTTTTTTTGAGATTTGTCTTCAATGATTTCGAATATACCAACATTGTAGCAACATGCAGACAACAATGTGTATATGTATTGCCAGCAGTTTAACAGCAAGATAGTCAATGTTATCTTGCGTTATCGGCAATATGATAGCATTGTATGATGCTGCATATTATTACGACAATAGTACGAATTTTGATGATGACGAAGTTGTTGGCAAATTGTTGGCAAGTTGCTACTCAATGTTATCATATCGTGAAGGCATCAAGTTGCTAACAAATGAGGATTCAGTTGCTGCAATTCTGGTAGTGACACATACTTAGCAATGCATACTTAACAAGCAACAAAACAGACACGTTGCTATCTGGGTAATTAAGGATACTGTGTGTTCACTCATTACTAC